TGACAGCCTTTTAGTTTCAAATTTGAGTTAAATTAGTAAGTTGATTTGTAAGAGACATATAAAACAAAAGTAAACCCAGACCCACAGAAGCCTGATGGCTTACCCTTTCTATGACTAAAAACAGTTTTGTGTTTTTAAACAGAGCTCTGTGGGGTTTACATTTTTTAATTAAATTAAGTAGAAAAATCAATACAAAAAGCTAAATGTATAGTGTATGTGTGCTAAGTCACCTTCAGTTGTGTCTGACTCTGTGAGGCCCTATGAACTGTAGCCTGCCAGGCTCCTCTGTCCATGGAATTCTCCAGGCAAGAAAACTGAATTGGGTAGCCATTCCCTTCCCCAAGGGATCCTCCCTACCCATGGATTGAACCCTGGTCTCCTGCATTACCTTGTGGCTCAACTGGTAAAGAACCTGCCTGCAATGCGGGAGATCTGGGTTCGATCCCTGGGTTGGGAAGATCCACTGGAGAAGGGATTCCCACTCCAGTATTCTGGCCTAGAGAATTCCATGGACTGTATAGTCCATGGAGTTGTAAAGAGTTGGACACAACTGAGCGTCTTTCACTTTCACTTTCTCCTGCATTAAAGGCAGATTCTTTACTGTCTGAGCCACCTGGGAAGCCCAGAAAAAGCAAACCTATACGTAAAATAGACAATCAACAAGGACCTACTCTATGGCACAGGGAACTCTACTTGAAATTCTGTAGTAACCTATATAGGAAAAGAATCTGAAAAAGAATGGATATATGAATATGTATAACTGAACCTCTTTCTGTACACCTGAAACTATCACAACACTGTAAATCAACTATACCCCATATAAAATAAAAATTAAAAAAGAAAAATTAAATCCATGTCACTAGCCCTGTGCCACTAGAAAGGATACTCAAACATTGAGATTATATAATCACATATTCAAACCCTCCAAGAGCTGCTCAAAATAATACTGTATTTTAGTTTGCTTTATATTTGGAACACAGTTTTCTGCTGGTTTTAATTGATTTCCATTTAACAAAAGAAGCACATGTCTTCACCATATGACTAAACTTGTTTAGGAACTTAATGCCAGTCTTCATGGCCATGGAGTCTGCTTTCTGCTTGAAGATATTCTTCTCCCTTCAAAACCAGTTGCTCTCCTAGCCTGCTTACAGTTGTTATTTTAGGCCTATATACATGTATGTATGTGTATATGTATATATACTTGTCCTTGTTATAGATACAATAGCTTCTCAAATTTACCTAAGGTTACTAATTAGAATACAAAGATATTATCTTATGTTCCCATAACTCTATTTCCCATTAGTTCAGTTTTTTAAATTAAAAAAAATAGTTCTTTTGAAAACATTACATCTGTACCTTCTTCTGATTATTTTTCAACTAAGTGAATCAGAAAAATGTGCATCAAAAAAAATTGCCTATCCTTTGCCCCCATTAAAAAAAAAACCAACTTGGGTTTTTTCTATTCTGGAAACTTTCAAGGATATACAAAGTAAACAAAGTATAATGAACTTCATGTACCCATCATCCAGTTTCAATAAACATCAATATTCTGCCATTATTTTTATAGCCAAATTATTAATTAAATAATCTTTCACATTGAGTTGGTCATTTGAATTTATATTTCATTTAGTAAATAACCGTTAGACCATATCATATACTCTTTTATAAGACACCAAACACCGTGTATGACAGTATTAGAAATTATTACCCAATACCCTTCCCCCACCATTTACAGAGCACTTTCTGTGCCAATGTGCTCATCATTTATGAAAGCACTGGTTCATTTAATTCAAGATAATCAACAATGTAAGATCTGCCCTTTAACCTGCAAAGGAAGTAGAGATGCTGTTTGTTAAAGGATTAGTAAAAGCATTCAAAATTAGAAACAGTGTGTGGAAAACAACATTTTCTGTGAAGAGGAATATGTATTCATGACTGTGTTTCTCAGATACAATAAAATGCCAACACAATTATAGCTGTCACTTGTGGGAAAGAAAGGACTATTTCTAGGGAAATCTTAATATCTATTCTCTGAGGGACAATGGTCTTTCAGCGATTTAGTACCACAGTCCTAGTTACAACACCAAGTTATAAATAAGATGCTGTTTTAAGAACTGGAATACTTTTTTCTGTATGAATGAATGAATGTGAAGTCGCTCAGTCGTGTCTGACTCTTTGCGACCCCAAGGACTGTAGCCTACTAGGCTCCTCTGTCCATGGGATTTTCCAGGCAAGAGTACTGGAGTGGGTTGCCATTTCCTTCTCTAGGAGATCTTCCTGACCCAGGGATTGAACCCGGGTCTCCCGCATTGTAGGCAGACGCTTTACCATCTGAGCCACCAGGGAAGCCTCTTTTTCTGTATACATAATTCTAAAATTCAGAAATAAATGAAGAGTTTTAGCAAATCGAGAGCCAAAATATCTTGCTTGTGCCCACTAGAAACTAGTAAATGAATTCTGCTGACTGGAGAGCCGACTGAGCCAGTGGTCCACAACGATTTCTTCCTCATTCTGCCTCATCCAGCTTTGCGAAGATTCCCCAGAGCTTTGTCATCATTTACCCTGGAGGCAGTAATTGGGTGGTGGAGGCGAGATGGACACTGTTGTTGTCTGATACTTTTTAAAAAAAATCAATTTATTTATTTTGGTTGTGCTAGGTCTTCTTTGCTGTGTGGGCTTTTCTCTAGTTGTAAAGAGCAGGGGCAACTCTCGAGTTGCAGTGCACATGCTTCTCATTGCAGTGTCTTCTCTTCTTGTGGAGCATAGGGTCTAGGCACACAGACTTCAACAGTTGCAGCAAAGGGCTCATTAGTTGTGGCGCACAGGCCTAGCGCATGTGGATAGAACCAGTGTCCCCTGAACTGCTCGGTCGCTTAGTTGTGTCTAACTGTTTGCAACCCCATGGACTACAGCCCACCAGATTCCTCTGTCCATGGAAAAGTCCAGGCAAGGATACTGGAGTGGGTTGCCATTTACTACTCCAACTCGGGCACCCTGACTACCACCCTGACTACCACTGGGCCATCCCGACTACCACTGTACCACCAGGGAAATCCAAAATAACTTTGCTTTCCAAGGGAGACTTAAGTATGGTAAAGTCCATCTAGAAGGAATAATACTGTGATTAAATTTGATATTTCATCTGCTCATTAACTGGTGGGCCAATATATCCCAATACACTTAGTATATTCTCTTCCAAGTAAGGCTCAAGAATCATGTATCAGAGAAACAAATAGTTGCTGTGTTTTGAATTAGGATGTAAACTTTTCCCCAAACTGAAATCGGTTGGATTAGTTATTACACTAAGCTAGGCATGAATTTTGAAAACACTTACTGAATTATATTTTTACTTACTTAATTGGAAAAGCATTATGTACGAAAAGCATATTAATGACCATTAAAAATATACAAACTACAAATATCTGGCAGTGTTCAGTTATCTTTGAAATGCTATTTCATAATGTTCTTGTTTACCATGTTTCTGTAGTGTGTGCCAGGTTATTTCCTGAAGTGTGCTTGTTAACACACACACAAAATCAATAAAGCAGATGGTTTTATATTTTATTTCAAACAGACTGCATCTTCACTGTTGCCCAAACTAGAAAGCCTGCTACCAGCTCTACCAATATTTTAGCTGTCCTCAAATTCGTAGTTCGATTTTAATTGAGACAAAAATAGTTAACTACTTCCATTCCTCAGTTCCTTTCCAACCTTATTTAGGAACTGTAGAGATGTATTCTAGTTTGCGTGCACAATATTTTGCTATTTCTAACACCATTTTCATGCCAAACTTTACAAAAGGCTTCTACAAATCTATTGCTGTCATTGGTTCGACAAAATAACTGGATTTGGTCATAATTATAAATTTAGGTTTCCTAAGCACAGGGGGAAATCACTTTATAATAATATATTCTTCTATCCCTTTTCAATTTGTGAAGGACATAATTCCTTGCTTAGATAAACAAAGTGAGGAAATGCCAGAGTTTTGTTATCCACTTACTCCTTTAACGCATTTGCAGGCTGTTTAAAAACTCTCTGATGGACTATAATGCATCATTCCAAACAATGAGGTGTGTGCTATTCCTTCACTGATAATTTTTATTTGTTGATAAAACAGAGGCGGTGCTCCATTTCTGTTCTCTAAAAACAAAACAAACCCCCACCTCCTGCCCCAACTCCCATTTAAATTTTTTCATGCTGTCACAAGTCTCAGAGCACGGTACTCCTCAGCTCCACCTCGTGTAGGAAAATAACGACTGCACCCTCAGCTCTGACCAAAGGGAGCAACCATGCTGTGGAAAAGATGAAAAGTCAGGAACATTATTTAGGAACCAAACTAAAGGAAGAATTGATTTCCTGTAGAGCCTGAGTGAGAAAAGCAGGTCTTAACAGCTGACAGGAACTTCAGGAAAACATGTGTATTGCTTTCATTGATAAATTCAATTAAATCTGGAGAAAACTATACTGAACTTACTTAATACTGGCAAACTTTGGATAAAATCCCCACTGACCTAGGATTCCTAGTTGACTCCTTCAAAAGAGCCAAGTCAGCGCGTTCTCTGAGCAGCGGTATGTAGTACATCAAACATCTTCACGAAAAACTACAGCCGACTATCTTTTAGTCACGTCATAAAGCCCAGAGGAGAACGCCTGGAAACGGTTTACGGAGAGGGGTGAGGTCCCCTTCTCGGCGAAGGCGACTTAGCTGACTGGAGTAGTTTCCGCGCTCTCCGCGTCCCGCGCCGCAGCAGGCAAGAAAGCGAAGGGACCCCGGGTCCCGGTCGCCCGCAGCATCTCCCCAGGGTCCTCCTTCTGAGAAACCTGTGGGTCAGGGACGCTCATCTTCTGCTTGTCATTATAAACCTGCTTCTTATTAAGCTCTCGTGATTTTTTTTTTTTTTTTTAAGTTGCTTTGCACAGTTTTCGCTTCCTCCGGCCAGGGATGAGGGAGCCCAGAGCGTCCCTGAGCCCGGCCGGGTACCGCGGAGCGGGGCGGGGAAATGGGCGGGGCATCTTCGCCGCGTCCGGCTGCGCCCAGTCGCGGGCGGGAGGCGGTGGCGGCGGCGGCGGCGGGGCCTGAACAGCGCGGGGATTGGCTGCGGAGGGCGGAGACGTCAGGCTCCCGCGGCCGGAGCTGCGGCCCCGGCTCGGCGCGGCGCAGCGCAGTCCGCTTGAGCGCTCACCGCAGCGAGAAGGTTTCCTGTGCCGTCGCGCCTTCCGCCGCCGCCGCCGCCGCCGCCGGGCTTCGCCGCTAGCGCCGGGACGCGCCTCCGCGCTCCTCGCCGCTTCCACCTCCGCGGCCGCCGCACCTCTCGCAGTCGGCACACACACCATGACGAAGACAGACAAGAAGTCCTTCAACCAGAGCCTGGCCGAGTGGAAGCTCTTCATCTACAACCGGACAACCGGAGAGTTCCTGGGGCGCACTGCCAAGAGCTGGGGTGAGCGGGCGGCGGTTGGGCACCCGGGCCGGCCGCGGTCTGGGGGGACGCCGGGCGGGGTCGGGTGGGAAGGGAAGGCGGGAGGTGGCTCCCCGCGTGGGGGCCCCAGGAGCCACCGCCGCCCGCAGCGGTCTTCGTCTCGGTCGCCAGACTCGAACGCGAGCCGCAGCGGCGGCAGAGGAGTAGCGCGGCCCCATTCATTTCTCTCGGGGCCGACGGGCGGGCGAGGCGGCGGGGCCCGCTGGCAGCCCCCGCCGGTTCCTTCCTCCCGGCTGGGAGCGGGCGCACGTGCAGCCCGGGCCTGCCGCGCCGGAAGCCGGGGACCGCTGCCCCGAGCCCCGAGCGCGTGGGGGCCGAGTGCCCGGCCTCCTTTGTACGGAGCGCGCCGGCCCCGAGAGGCCCTGGCGGAGGCGGCCGGCTGCGCCGAGCGGTCGGGGAAGCTAGACCCTGCCCCACGCCCGGGGAGAGGAAATTTCCACTCCCGCCGCTATCTTGTGACTCGTCCACGCTGCCACCCCAGCCGGTCGGTAGAGTGTGAACGAGTGTTCACTGTGTGGGCTGCACGACTGTGTTAGCACACAAGCACACGGTATCCGAAAATGCAATTGAATTTGTCCAGTGAAAAGACCCTAAAAAGGTCGCTTCCTCCCTAATTCCTTTTTAGTGACACAGGTTTTCTTCCTTACCAACGTGCTTCAATAGGGGAAAGTAAATCCGGTCTGAAAGTCACGGGGTTTTTTTTGTTTTTTGCCCTATGCTTTCCAAACGTGTGATGTTTGTATTTGCTAGCAGTTTTCCTCTGCATGGGTTCTTTGTTTTAAAAGAAATACTTAAACCATCCACCAGTGTGGTGCTGCCTTCTTCGAATGCCTCTTTTTTTGGAAAACCTGTTAACATCTGAATCAGGACTAGTGCTCCCCTCCTTTAAACTTAAGTTAACCTATTTTTTTTCCTTTTGAAAAATATTTTGTTAGTTGGTCATGACAGACTTTTCTGCGTGAGAGTATTTCTAGACTGGAGAACTATTTGAGCACGACACTTTGAAGAGAAGCATGAAGAGTGAATTAGCTCTGACTTAGGAAATAACTGTTGCTGCTACCTGAAATCGGCTCTTCCAGAATAGAAAGGCGGCTTAAAGCTCTATCACAAGTTGCAAGGGGGCCTTGGAGGGTTTTTTTTTAGCCCAAACCCTGCTTCAGAGATGAGAAAAATGAGCCCCAGAGAAGTGGTGATTTTGTTTGTGTAAAATTACATATTCCACAGAGCCAAGAAAAGAACCCAGTTGTCCTTTAATCCTAGTCCAGCGGTTGTATTATTTTACAGATGCCTTGCCTCACAGCATGATAATCACGATTTTTATTCAAATGGATGGCTGTGGGGAACCCACTAGTGTGATGAGGAAATAGATCTTGCATTTAGAATTAAATGGGGGGGGGAACTGTAAACAATTATTTTTGTTTTTAGAGTGTACTATTTGCTGAAGGAATATTTGAGTGGTGAAGAGGGATGAATTTGTGTAGACTACCTTTCTCAGTTCCAGTACTAAGTATCTTCATGTTCTATTAGAATGACATTTCTTTTCTTTTCTTTTGAATGACGTTTCTTAATGCAGGGTGTGCTCCTTAACCTTTGTATTACGTGCTGTTGGGGTAGAGATATTATTTGGTATCAGAGAATGCAGGATTGTGTAAGCGCAGTGGAAGGAATACAAGTGAAGCTGGGATTAGATTTAGAAGAATGAAGGCAAGACTTTTTATTTTCTGAATGGAAATTGTCAGCAAAGAGTAAATTTCTGCATTTATTGTAATAATAGTAAACCAGCACCGAATGGCATAAATAGGTGAGAACTATCCATAATCCTATCCCAGCGGGCGTAAGGACACTCCAAGGAGATGTGGGGGAGTGGTGCCTGTAGGCTGGAATCCAGCTGTCAACGCTGTGTTCCCTCAAGCATGGGGTCCACCTGGAGAAGGCTATCATCCTGCCTTTCTTTATCAGAAAGGCAGTGTATGAGTGAGTTGCCTGATCTCATTACCCCTGTTAGACACTCAGTAGGGTCAACTCTTTGCAACCCCATGGAGTATAGCCCATTGGGCTCCTCTGTCCATGGAATTCTCCAGGCAAGGATACCAGAGTGGGTAGCCATTCCCTTCTCCAGGGGTTCTTCCCAACTGGAGAAGTCCACTATGCATATATCAGTACATGTGTGGGCAGACTTAATGCATATAATGTTATTGATTTTTTTTTAACAGATCATACAGTAAATGTTGCTTTATAATCTTTTGAGTATATTATGGGCCTCTTCCTGTGTTATTAATAAAGATCTATATCATATTTAATAGCTATTCTATTGTATAGTTAGATGTACTTTTTTTTTTTAGTCTAACATGTATCTTACGTATACATGGGAGATACCTATGGTAATAGAAATAATAATTCCATTTTTTTTTAAAACCAGTGCATATTGTATGTACTGGGCCCTCCTCCCCCCTTTCTTTAATCCTTGTGCATTTTTGTAAATTGATTTCCTTGAAATATGTTTCTACTGGTGGAATTTCTGGGTTGCGGATAATCTGTGTACCTTTTATATTCTGAAAGCATGTTATAGTTTTTTTTTTTCTTTTTAAACTTCATTTGTGCAGATGTTTTCTTTTGCTTTTGAAATTAATGAGGGAGGGGATTATTACATCTTTTTATGACCTGGGTAGATTTGCTGGGCTGCTGGGGTGTAGAGACAACCTTTCTCTACCTCAAGGGTTCTATAAAGACATTCATTTAAGATGTTTCCTGATTTTATCTTTTACATTCAGGTCTTCAGCACATTTGTCCCAAGTGAGGTTCCTTTCCAAGTGCACTATATATTAATATTTAAGAAGCAGTCTTGCTCTTTACATTTGGGATAAAGTGAACATACCTCATGATCCATGTCATTGCCTTCTTTAAAACAGCTGTGTGAGAATTTTGACTAATTTCTTGTATATTTGGCTAATGTGTTACACTTGATTTCGGCAGTTTCAGAATGCTTATATACATGTACTTTATTCCATTTTCACAGCTTTCTAATGCATACCATGTAGGTGATCAAAGTGTTCATAAGAGCTGATATCCAGGCTGAACGTGAGGGCAAGTCAGGAATAGTGAAAGTATTAGTTGCTCAGTTGCATCCAGCTCTTTACTAGCCCATGGACTGTAGCCCACCAGACTCCTCTGTCCGTGGAATTCTACAGGCAAGAATATTGGAGTGGGTAACCATTCCCTTCTCCAAGGGATCTTCCCCAACCAGGGATTGAATCTGGGTCTCCTGCATTACAGGCCGATTCTTCACTGGCTTGGTAGAGCACATCAGGAATAAGTAATCGCCACTTATGAAAATACAGGACAAAGAAAATTTAGCAGCTTGTGGCTGATGTTGCAAATATTAAACCTAAATGCATTATATACAATTAGAGTGAAAGACAGTTTAGAGGTCACCTAGTGTTACTTAATTGTAAACAGTGGGCCATGTGTTGAAACGAACGTTTTAAAACATAATGAAATAGAATGGAAAAATTACCAGTTTATTCTGCCTCATGAGTTTATTCTAAGGGAAAGTGTCTTTCGGTGAAACTTTACGGTTTGTATGTTCAGATACCCTGATGTAAGGTGTATTCCTTGTGGTGGCTCACAGTCAAAAAAAAAAAAAAGCTTGAAAGCCAGTAATATAGCCCTATACCCTCATTTCATAGGTGAGACAGTTGAACCCACAGATCTGATCTGTCAGAATTTACTTAGCTAGTGATAGAATCTTTGGCCTTCAGACTCCCTCCAAGACCAGAGTTTTTTTTAAAACTATGCCGTGAAAATGTCATTTGCTCAGTTGTGTCCAACTCTTCGTGACCCCAGGGACTGTAGCCCGCCAGATTCCTTTGCATGGGATTCTCCAGGCGAGAATACTGGGGAGGGTAGCCATTTCCTTCTCCAGTGGATCTTTCTAACCCAGGGATCGAACCTGGGTCTCCTGCATTGCAAGCAGACTCTTTACCATCTGAGCCACCAGGGAAACCTGTGACATGTCATTTAATGACATCTGCCTGTGGGCTTCTTTGACCTTCATTAAGGTTATCTCTCAGTAGATGCTTTAATGTTAATCTAAAACTCAAGGTACTGATTCCAAGCAGGGTCAGGATTCTGGACTAAAACTACTAACATCTACATTTTGTTCATATGCTTCTCTTTCATTGTAGGCCCATGAATTGCAGTTTTTTCCGATCACCTGCTCCCATTCTGGGTCATGCCTCAGTAAATGCTATGCTTTGGAGATCAGGCTCCATCCCAGTCTTGTGTGTTTGACTGTAGGGGAGAAGGCAAGTGTGTTTATTTTCCCAGTTTTGTAAGGTATTCTTTGTCTGGTGGAATGTTGTATCAAAGAAACTTTACAAAAACTTGCACTGTTGGAAAAGTAACAGGACTTGCCTTACCCTGTGGGCTGACTGTAAATGAAGGTCAAGTGGTGGGTGTGGCAGCAGCAACAGCTGAGGCTAACTGAGCCATCACCTGGCAGGAGGCAGCACTTCCTGGATTGATAGTGGAAGGGAGGGGTAAGTGTGTGTGTTGTAGTCCAGATACCTGTAATAATAGTGTGGTGCCTGCACAGTTGCTAAGTTGTCTGACTCTGCGATCCCAAGGACTGTAGCCCACCAGGCTATGTGATTACAGTAGTATGTGCTTTACTGTGTTACAGAGCAGCCTCCCCTCGCCCCCAAAATAATTTGATTTCTTTGAAATTGACTTTTGAATTTGCAGCTTTAGAATTAGTTTTATTAAAAACAGCTTAAAAAAACCCTCCTATCCTTAGTAACATCTTCACTGTGGTGTATCATCACATTTAAAGACCATTTAACGCATTTGTTTTCCAAACAATTTTATTACAGTGTGCCAAAGTACTTGGCAGTACAACTGTATGAAAAGGGGGGAAAAATCATGTGTACAATAATTTTTAAAAGTGAAGGTTACTCTTGGGA